CTTGAAGAATGGTAAATTTTCGAGTGGGTCGAAGGCCATGAATTTAAAGTACTTGGTCGTTAGAGAAAGAGTCCAAAAACAACAAGTGTCAATTGAAAATATAAGTACCACATTTATGATAGCTGATCCACTCACTAAAGGATTATCACCAAAGGCATACTTAGAACATGTTATAAGGATGGGCCTTTTGGGAAATCCATAAATGTATATTAATAGTGGTACTAATTGACATTTTGCGCAATTGAATTTTGTTTTTGCTTATTCTTGTTAATGTATACATTATGTTCTGTAAAAAACAAGAATTGTCCTGACAAGACAAATTACAGGGGTCATTATAGTATTAAAGGTTGAATTAGTATGGATTATTAGTATGTAGTACATGGAAGGAAGCGTGGCGTTTTTTGTTGCTGCGTAACCGCCATGACTTGTGCTAATCGTTTGTGCTAACTTCAATATTAGTGTAATTATATTATTTTTGAGCATGTTGGATATGTATTATTGTAATCGTGATCACGTGTTAAAGATATTTTTTTGAAATATGTGTTTATATATTACATATATTTTATATTTATATATAATGTAAGTTTTTCATAATCGATTTAGCGGGCCAATTAGGAGAATGTAATTTTCACATTACGTGTCAAGTGGGTGACCCGCTAATCTATTGTTTTAATTAATTAAATCCCACTATTTAAGTTAATACATATATCCAATTACAGAAATGCTCATATTAAATCAATACTGTATAAAAGATAAGTGTCCTTTGATGGATTAGATTACTTAGCCGATTAATCATTTATTTATAAATAATTAATAAAAGATAACAGTTATTGATATAAAAGATAGTTGGTTTTATCCGATTAAAACCAGACTCTCTGCTCTCCTCTATTAAGGACAACTGGACTACATATAAAATATATATATATATATATATATTCATATATATATATATAAGGGTTATGTCTTCTTTTAGAAACTAACTTTGTTTTCATTCCATCACAAAGGACACAAATAAAAAACATCTAGTAATTAAGTTAGAGAAAGAGGAGAAGGGTTTGGTATTGTTTTTCTTCCCTATCAAGGTTTATCAATCAAAGGTACAATCATGGCTTCAAGCTCATCTGATGGTATGTAATGTACCAATTGATTCTAAGCTTAAGGTTTATTTCCGCATTAAATTTCTTAAGTATTTCTTACATGTAGTACAGGATTTGCCATTCCTACACACTGAGGGTATACATTTTTCATTTGTCCGAGTCAAGGTTAGGTTGACTAGCTCCTCTGTATTCAAATCATCATACGCCTCCTGCTCATTGTCATGTACACCAATCTCCATCAAGGAACCAACCTCTTCAGAGTTCCCTGCTACCATTTCATACATCTAATCCAAGACCTACAACTACTGTAAATGAGTAACAGCATTCTTTATCCACTCATTAGAAAGAGATTCTGGTTTACACTGCTTTAGCTTATGTAAATGCAAGGTTACATAAGCTAAAGCAGTGTAAACCACAATTCAATTAAACCAGAATCTCTTTCTAGAACACTGCCAAACTTATACCAAAAATTAAATTGAAATTCATAATTTTTAAACACAACCTAACAATTAAACTTGGATTAAAACAACAAATTTACCACATAATTCAAAGTTTAATCCAACAATCGAAAGGCAATTACAACATTACCCTATATTCGAAATTACTCAAACATTAAACCAAAATATAAATCCAATTAAGCTACACACAAGGCACAACTCCATAGTTACGAACTACAAAATGATTGGCGAATAAATGATAATAATCACATCAAGAATGACGAAATTTAGCTAATCGTTAACAGATTGCAGCAGCAAACGAACGACGCATACTGAACACCCAGCAACACCACTGAACATCAGAACAGCCGAATTCAAATACCATCAACAGGACGAAGTTGAATAAAACCGGTCGAATTAAACAAAGATCTATAAGCAGAGAGAATTTTTGAGAACTCCTTAGCAGTATTGTACTGCTGTGACTTAACGACATAAAGGGTCCCACATTTAAATTTGCGGACGTGGCAGTTGAGATACTCGAAATTGTTCATCCCTGAGATTAATGGGGGCTCGCCCTTTAATTTTTTTTAGCCATTTAAACTTTTTTTTTAGCAACAAGACAATCACTAAAAACAGATAAAGCATGCTTCTCATTGAGTAAGAAACATTATTAAAAAATTATAAAAAAAAAAAAAAAAATCCATATTATTCACGGTAACAATTAATCCTACTACTCAATTAGTACGGAATACAAGTTACATAGAGTTGACTAGTTTGTGCAGGAGTACTAAGTAACTGACTAAGTAATTAAAGTTAATGAAAATTAAATCTCACCCCGCTAATAAAGTAAAGCAAACACTTTCAACTTAGACTCCTTAAGTGTTTGTGCAAGAGTACTAATTGTTTGCCTAACTAATCAATAAGTGGACTTAAGTGTTTGTTACGAGGGTCAACCAATTAGTTATTTTTTTTTAAAAAAAAATAAAACACCCCTAAATATTTAATACTCTTAAGAGTGAAAGATGTTTAGCTTTTCAATCCTAAATCATCAACAGGGTCCAACACCTAAGACGGCAAGACCCTGACAGGGCGTTTGACACGTGGGAATGAGAATTTGGGAATGTGAAGTGGGAATGGAAATTGGATTTTTTTTTTTTTTTTTTGACACAGGGAATTGGTAATTGGGAATTTATTAAATATTCCCAATCTCTTGTTTGACATTTAAGTGAGAATAAAATTAGGATTAAATGCCAAATTTACTATTTTATCCCTATTGTTTTAAATCTCAAATTTGATACTCCCTCTGTCCCTAATATTTTGCCCCATTGATAATTTTTGTGTCAAACTTTAAAATCTTTGATCATATTCACGTTAATCTATACTAATATAGTCAAGTTAGATTTTGTTAGATTTGCCTCTTTGTAAATTTTAGGAAATTTTGACTTTTGCTACCACAAAAAACCTTGAGTTTCATTTTTGCTACCCCTTAAATTTTTTTATTTATTTTACTACCACTAAAAGTCACTGTTGTTAGAATTTGGTACCAGATGACGAAAACTGTTACAGCTGCCATTGGTGGGCCCCACTATAACATTCGTTTTGTCAGTTTATTGAGTATATGTAATAGCTGTGAAGAACCCCTCTTCTCCAAAGTTGAAGTAATACGAAATTAATTGGAGGTGGTAAAGCAATTGGGAATAGTTTTTTGGTGAAGGACGAAATTTGTTGGAGTTGTTTCCATCTTCTCCAAAGGTGAGCACAGTTGTAGCCAGCAATTTTTTTTTTAATTTTTTGTGAATGCGAAACCAATTGGAAAAGGAAATTGCAATTTTGTGTCAAATTATTGTTGTTTTACTGGCAATTGCGATTGTTTAGGAATGGTGCAGAATTTGAATTTGATTTTCAAATGGTTTAATTGGCAATTAATTTCATGTTTCCGTTTTAGGGCTTTTATCCCACTTGAAATTAGGGGTTTTGAGTTGGGTTATTAGTGGATGAAATTGATGGTGATGTTTGGTTAATAATGGATGTGTTATTGTAGTTGTTGCTAAATTTGGTTGAATTGCAAGCTATAATGTCGTTGGCTAGGTTTTCTCCATCCAAACAGAGGAAGTGTGACTGTGGTATACCTATGGCTAGGCTGACATCATGGACAAGAGAGAACCCTGGAAGGAAGTTCAAAGTCTGCAAATTCTATGATCCTAAAACATAAAGTAGGGGTTGCAAGTGCTTTGAGTGGGTGGATGAGGAAGAAGGGACTGACTGACAAAGGGATGTCATTAATCAACTTTTACTTGACAAGAAATTGATGAAGGGAGAAATCAACTCACTATAGAGAGAAGTTGAAGATTTAAGTGGGCAAAGAAGGTGTTTGCTAAGTGAAAATGACAACTTGCTTGTGAAGCGCAAAGCTCTAACTTCTGAGAGGAAGAAATACAAGCAAGGAGGGCAACAAATCAATGTTGGTGGATGCACAACAGTCCTAGCAATTAGCATTTGTTGTGTATTTGTGATTGTAATGGTAATTGTTTTAGTTGTATTGAAATAAGATTAGGGTAGTGCAGGTGGTCAGAGGTGCTGATTGTGTATTTAGATGATCTTATTTTTAGACAACAATTGGCATATGTAAGACTCTGAATTATTATGAATGAAAGATGCCATGTTTTTTATTAGCAATAAAATAGTCTTCCTTTTCATAGCAGTTTTAGCACTAAAGTGCATGGCACATAAAATTTAAAAGCAAATCCAGAGGATTAGTTGTTAAATACAAAAAATGTGAAACCAAAGTTGTCTTAAAAAGCAGAGAATCATTGTTGCAGGCTACATTAACCAAACATGTTAACAGTCTAGGCACTAAAAAACTAGGACTCCCTAATTCTTCTTCCTTTTCCCTTTCCCTTGCTTTGTTGTTGATCCTTTTGCTGCTGTTGTTGTTGTTGATGCCTGGGATGCTTGGGTGCAGGGCACAGGTCACAGGTTGTTGGGATGGTTGTGTGGAGGGCACAGTTTGTTGGGATGCTCTCTCTTGAGGGAATGATTTGTATGCTATGATCCTTGGACCAGGAGTTCCACCAGTATGTAATGGCATAAGTAAAAAATAAATGGCCATCCAACAAAAAAATAAAGAAACAAGAACCAAAACCCTATACATGTAATATGTTAGGGAGGGTAATGTAAACACCTTCATACTAGCCCTTGCCTCCTTCTTCCTTCTTTGTTCCTTCATCCATGCATTTTGTAAAACTGGTTTGCATGGTATGTTAGGCTGTGGTGGAACTGTAGGAGCTTGCATTGGTTCATTCTTACAAGTCTTGGCATAATGACCAAGTTTTCCACACTTTGCACACCTGTTTTGTCTTTTCTACTTCTTTGTTTGTTTGGCACTGCTTTCTCCCCCTCCTCTCTCTAGCTTTCTTTTCTTTGCCTTTGGCCTACCAGGCATAACTCTTACTGCTAGAGGTAGGGGCTATTGAAGATGATGCTGCTTCTCCCAATGCTTGGGTCCAGGCATAGGCTTCACAGGTTCCTCATATGCATGCAGATATTTCTGTCTTGTGTAATACTCATGCACAAAGTCTTCTAGGTCCACCCTCTTGTCCAATATGCATGCATACCCATGTACACATGGAATACCAGTCAACTGCCAATGGTAACATGTGCAAGTCATGTTACCTAAGTCAACTAGCACTGTATCACCATTAAGCTCAACCTCATAGGAGTCTCCTCTTGAAACTTGCACTATACAGTGCCTTGCAGCCCTCTCAATCCTATCAAACAACTTAGTGACATAGGGCATGAGCTTCCCATCCATCTTCTTGGCTGCCTCCCACTTCTCATTATGCCTCTTCATCATATACCTTCTCAGCCACTCCATCTGAGTGAGTATTGGCTTGTCCCTAGCATCTCTTATAACAGCATTGAATGTCTCACAGACATTATTGAGAAGCATATTTGATTTGCAGTCTGAAGAAAATGCATGCCTAGACCAGTGCTTAGCAGGAATGTTATCTAGATACACATATGCATCTTCAGACAAGAAATGTATAGATTCCATTTCCACCTCAAAGTCAGCCTACCAGGTCATACCAAAAACAGCAGAATATAAATAAATGTTTCCTAATTCAGCACCAATGGTATCAACAACAATCAAAGCACATTAAACATAAATCAGGTATCAATAACAATCAAAGCACATTGAACAACAATCAAAGCACATTGAACATTAACTAACTTAGTTTAGACAGTTTGGCATCTCATTCATGCAACTCAAGTCAAGTTAATTTACTCACCAATGTTGTAGCCCTAGCAGCATTCCAGAAGAGGTCTTTGAAGGTTGATCCACTTAACTGAAGCTTGAAATTAGCCCAGATATGCCTGACACAAAACCTCTTCTCAACAAATGACACCTGCATTTCCAAGGCTTCAAGGAGACCCTGACATATCAAAAACCAACACATTAGTGAAGAACAACTCATATCATATTATGTAATGTGAATTAGGTATATGATGCCTCACCTTTTGTCTATCAGACATGAAAGTCCAACCACCACCCTCACACACATCACCAAGGTCCTTTTTCAAACACCCCAAGAACCAGCACCAAGTGTCCTTATTCTCCACTTCAACTGTAGCCCATGCAATTGGATATATGTTGTTGTTTCCATATTTGCCAACAGCCACAAGTACTTGTCCTGGGTAGGCTCCCTTTAGGTGACAACCATCAAGACCTATTAAAGGTCTGCATCCTTTAATGAAACCACTTCTCAGTGGCTAAAGACATATGTACATCCTCATAAAAAGGGATGGTTCTGGTCTGCTATCATTCACATCAACCACTATGCACACCCTAGAGCCAGGACTGTACTTAATTACAACTTTGCCATAGTCCCAAACTCTGGCATATTGCTCAGAAGCTGACCCATAAATCATCAGCTTTGCCCTAGCCCTAGAAAGCCATGCTTTAGAGTACTTCACTGTTATGCCCAAGTCACTCAACACCCTAGCTCTGAAACTTTTAAGATCCCAACTAGGGTTGTGCCTCCATTCCTCAACATACTTCTCAGCAAGATATTCAGCATTCACCATTGAATTCATTTTACTCCTCATACACATATGCTTAGGCCTAAAATCTATAATTTTCCAAGCTTCACTGTTGAACAATCTTCTAGCTGACACCTTAAGTCTGCACTTCTTAACCCTAACACTACAATTGCAGCTCCCTGCCAATTTACTTCTCTTGGAATTCCACGGACACTTACACCTTCTCTTGCAAAATGTGGTTATCCTTTTACCACCATTGTGCAGATAGTAATACTCATACCTGTTCTCTATTGCATGTATCCTAAGGGCTTTCCTTAGAATGGTGCTGTTGGGGAACCTCAATTTTTTCACCAGCTCAACTGGTTTTTTGAAATCAGTTTCTGCATGAAACCAGGGATTATCATCTTCTTCCTCATCTGACCCATGTAAAATTCTAAGCTCATCAGATTCAGAGCCTTCATCATGGACATCCACTTCCTCCCAACCAATGTCCTTACTTAATTGTTTTACTTCCTCCTTTTCCACACCTACACCCTGTGAAGTTTCACCCCCATATTTAACAAGCTGCAAGCTCTGCTCTACTGTAGATAAGATGCCTTCTCCAGTCTGCCTAGGCCAATCCTCATCATCATTGTTTGCCTCTCACTACTACAAAAATGGTCAAAGAGACCTGTCGTAAATGGCTTAAGAGACCTTTTTAGAGGAGGTCTCTAGCTCACAGGTCTCTTTGAAGCTGAACAAGTCTCTTTGTAATCAATAAGAGACCTATTAAGTAAGGCAACAGGTCTCTTTCCATGGAATTACCTCTTAAATTATGCAGGGAAAGAGACCCGTTATTTAACATAACAGGTCTCTTTGACCCTTATCAAAGAAACCTGTTCTGCTAGATAACATGTCTCTTTTAGCTTAATTGTTTTAAAAAAAAAAAAAATTGATAATGATATATTTATTAATTGAATATTTTTTTTTGAAAGAACTAATATGGCAAAAAAATTGTAAATTATAAAACGAAATAGTTAATGAATTCATTGAAATAATTTACAAGGATAGAACTCAAAGAAATAATTAACAAGGATAGAACTCATTGAAACAATTTACAAGTATAGAACTCAATAAAATAATTTACAAGTAACCATAACCAACAACTAACAGTCTAATTATATATCCAACCAACGATCCTTTGGTCGATTTTATTTATCCCTCCATTCATGAACTTCCTTGATCGAGAGTTTCTTGAATTTCTCATCGTCCTGTACACCATTAAGAAAATCAGTTATAAAAAATTAACACTAACCCATTTGAAGCCTTCATAAAAATCAATCAACTCTTCAGCATCAAAATCATTTCTATCATCCAAAATATAAACAAGAAAAATCATCAATTGATCCATCAAAACCAACATTAACATTTTTTTTCCCATACACCCTTTCACTTTAAAAAGAAAAATTAAACAAGAAAAAATATACCAAAATTAACATGCAAATGAAAAAAAAAATCAGAAAAAGAATTGTACTAAAAACCCCACCGGTCTTTAAAAATCCACCCCCAGCCCGTATAAACCACCCACCCCCAGTCCATATGAATCCCAACCACCACCGTCACCTAGCACAACAACCATAAAAAAACCCCGACCACCATAAAAAAATCAAAAATCCCCGATCCGTATAAATCACTCGAAGCCCGTATAAATCAACCACCCCAACCCCTGTATGAACAAACCACCCACTCTTCGTATAAACCACCCCCCAACCCCGGTATGAACCACACCTAATTTTTTTAAAAAAAATTCATAGCCACCCATTAAAATAACACTTACCCAGTCTAAAACTCAAAACCACCATGACATAAAAACTTCTTGTCAGCCGCCTAAAAACCATTAAAAATATAAAATAGAAAATAGAAAATGGTATTATACCTGCTATAGCTCTTCAATTATCACTTTAATTGCCCAATTTGACCGTAAAAAACTCTAGATCTAGAGTTTTTATGGTAAAAATTAACAATTAAGGATGAGGAAACGCCGGCGTTAAATAGGATGCGGCAACAACGCCGTTAAGGTGGAGGATGCCGCAGTGACACCGTTAAAGTGGAGGATCTTAAAGTGGTCGTTGAGAAGGAGGATGTGCCGTACTTTCTTGATCTAGGAGAAAAAGAAAAACATGAATTGAGAGGAGAAGATGTGGCGTAGCTCTCTTGCAAATGAAGAGAGTAGATGAAAGGGAGAGGAGCATATAAGGGTAAATGAGGAGATAGAGAGCCGTTCAATAAAAAAAAATTATAAAAAAAGAAAGTGGTGGACCCATATATATATATATATATATATATATATATATATATATATATATATATATATATATATATATATATATGTTAGAAGATAAATATGAATGCCTATAATTATTTGATTTGATTTCACAATGTTCACACAAGTCCAAAGACTTGTGAACTTGTGTGGCATTATATGTAAAACTCTTGGCTATATAAGCCATGTTACCGGAGCAATATACATAATCAATTTCTCCATCTTCTCTTACTCCTTTATAAAACTTTCTATCGGTAAAACTTTAACACGTTATCAGCACCAGTTTTCAGTCAGGTATATTTATACCTACTTATAAAAATTTATAACAAAATAATACTATATACTTCTAACTGTTTCGAGGAGTATGCTCTATAGTTGCCCATATTTGGGATCCTCTATAACAGAAACTCAAACATTTACTATATATACCTCAAAAACAACGGTGAAAGTTCTCTTACTTGTGAATTTACTACTATCATCTTTTGTTTATTCATGTTGATGTTTCTTTGTTTGATCCATGTTGATATTACATACTCATTTTACGTAAATTTTTATCTTAGTTATTTTAATTGCTAAGTAGTAGCTTTGCATGCATATTATTATTAACTAGATTAACAAAAAGATGCAGCCTTTTTTTATACTTATTATTTTTCTTACTTTTACATTTTTTTTTGTGTTTCTTTCCGTTTTCGAACCCATGATCTTTTATAGATATTAGGGCTCTCGGACCACTATGGCTTGCATTCCCAGTGTGATAACCTTTTACAATTATAAATATATATATTCAGACCATAATTTTTGTCAGTATATTAGATTGTTATATGATATTTTTACAGTTGTACAGAACAGTAACGGATAAACCTACCTCTATAAAAGGCGGATTTTTCCCCGATTTCACCACAAATCCCTTATCCCTTCCCACTTTTTATCCAAAAATCACCTAAAAAAAAATTTTCACCCCCTTCTTCTCCGATATGTTCCCCGACGACGGCAACCAAAACACCCAAAACACCCACAACTTCACTTTTGAGGAAGATTTAATGAAGATAAAACAATATTTCCTTCTAATTACGGCGCTTGTAATTTTATTAGTAGCAATATTAATTTTTGTCATTATGTATAAGTAAAACTCACTTATTTTGTCGTTTTAGTATAATAAAAGCTTGTTTTTGTTTTATTATGTATGTTTGTTGTTATTAATCATCATTGTATAATATTACCGTTATCATTATAATTATTGTTACTACTGTCATTGTTGTCGTTTTGCTGTTTTTTTTGCAACTAACATGATTAATTTTTGCCTAATCACATAATTACTCACAATAATAAACCAAGGGGGAGAAAAGACTACATTATTTATGGTTTATTATTATTAAATTTAATTATCACGTGTCTTATTAACTTAATTATAAATATGGAAGAACTAAACATGTGAGTTGTACATATAATTTGTTATTATAATCTAATTATCACGAAATTTGTTGTAGCTAAAATGGGAGACCTTATGAAAAGACAGTTCAGCATCTTAGATTTATCTGGAAAGAAATTTCTGGAATGGAAAGTGGACGCAATGATGAATTTGAAAGCTCAAGGCTTGGAGCACACTGTTAAAGAAAATAAAAGTCCCTCTGGTCAAACAACTGATGCTACCTCTTCTGCAATGACGGTTGAAAAACCTATCACTGAACATGATAAGGCAAAAGCCTTAGTGTTGTTAAGGCATCATTTATATGAAGGCCTTAAAACTGAGTACATGATGGTTGAAGATCCCAAAGAATTATGGGACTGCCTTAATGAAAGATTTGGACACCACAAAAGGGTGCTCCTTCCTAAGGCATTATTTGACTGGACAAATTTACGGTTCCAGGATTTCAAATCTGTAATAGATTACAATTCAACCATACATGAGATAGTATCTATATTGAGATACTGTGATCATCCAGTCACCGATGAACAAATGATTGAAAAAACACTCACTACCTTTCATGCAAGCAACATACTGTTGCAAGAACAATATCGTGAAAGAGGTTTTAAGAAGTTTAATGAATTAATGAGTGTATTGCTTGTTGCGGAACAAAATAGCGATATTTTGTTGAAAAATCATAATCTCAAACCAACTGGGTCTTTGGCCACTCATCATGAGGCAAATGCAACAAGTTCTTATCCACTCGAGGCAAATGCTGCACGAAGAGGTGGACGTGGAAATTACAATGGCCGTGGAAATTATCGCGGACGAGGCCGAGGACGTGGTAGAAACAATTTTCAAAGAAACAGTAATTTCAAAAATTTTGAAAAACAGAAGGGACAGTCATCTGGAAGCCACAAACAAACTCTTTCAAAAGGAAAAGACACATGTTACAGATGTGGCATGACAGGACATTGGGGACGTACTCGTCGTACGGCCAAACATTTGGTAGACCTTTATCAGGCTTCTGTAAAAGGCAAAGAGAAAAATGCAGAAGCAAATTATGTTAATGAAGAAAATGCTCCATGTCCTACCCTTGATGTGTCCGATTTCTTCATGGACAATGCTGAAACTGGGAATGATTTCATCTTTGGAGAAAATAACAATGCTTAATTAACCCATCTACTGATGTAATATATACTACGTTTTAATGAATTTTCTGATATGTATTTTAAATGATTAGTCATGTACTCTTAATTTCTATCATAAATAAAAGTTTGTATGATATTATTCTAAACTAATCTCATATTTATTTTATGAAGATATGGATATACCCGAAGTTGGTTCCGAATATCATTGCCTTTTGGACAGTGGAACAACACACACTATCTTAAAGGATAGGAAATATTTTTCACAACTAAAGTTGTTTCAGGCAAATGTAAACACTATCTCCGGGTCAGCAAAATTAATTGAAGGATCTGGAAAGGCTTGTATAATGCTTCCAAATGGAACAAAATTGATGATCAATAATGCTTTATACTCGAGTAAATCTCGAAGAAATCTCATAAGTTTCAAAGATGTGCGCCAAAATGGCTATCATTTAGAAACAATGACAACGGGTCAAAAGGAGTATTTATGCCTTACGGCAGGAAAATATGGCAAGAAACACATTTATGAGAAATTTCCAGCATACTCTTCGGGGTTATACCGAATAAACATACGACCCGTGGAAATCAATATGATATCTAAGCAGAAGTTAGATGACAAACATTTGATTATTTTATGGCATGATCGTTTGGGACATCCAGCAACTGGGATGATGCAAAGAATAGTAGCACATTCAGTTGGACATTCAATAAGAAATGTCAAAATTCCCCGATCAGATGAATTAACATGCTCTGCATGTTCACTTGGCAAATTAATAATAAGGCCATCTATGAACAAAATTGCTACTGAATCTCCAAAATTCTTGGAAAGAATTCAGGGAGATATATGTGGGCCAATTAATCCAGCATGTGGACCATTTCGATATTTCATGGTTTTAATTGATGCTTCCACACGATGGTCACATGTCAGTCTGCTTTCAAGCAGAAATGTTGCTTTTGCAAAATTACTTGCCCAAATTATCAAATTAAGAGCACAATTCCCAGATCATACAATAAAGAAAATAAGGCTCGATAATGCTGGGGAATTTACATCCCAAACATTTAATGATTATTGTATGTCAATTGGAATTGATGTTAAACATCCAGTAGCTCATGTCCATACACAAAATGGTCTAGCTGAATCACTAATTAAGAGATTACAATTGATTGCAAGACCATTATTAATGAGATCAAAATTGCCATCATCTGCTTGGGGACATGCTATAATACATGCAGCAGCACTAATTAGATTGAGACCTACAACTTATCATAAATTCTCACCACTACAACTTGTTTGTGGTAGAGAACCAAGTATCTCACATCTAAAAATCTTTGGTTGTGTTGTATATGTTCCTATTGCTCCACCCCAACGAACAAAAATGGGTCCACAAAGAAGGCTGGGAATTTATGTCGGGTTTGAATCCCCATCTATAATTAAATATCTTGAACCATTGACTGGTGACTTATTTACGGCTAGATTTGCCGACTGTCACTTTAATGAAGCAGTATTCCCAGCCTTAGGGGGAGAGAAAGTGGACCCACACAAGAAAGAAATA